TTGGTCAAAATTTTACCACCAATAAATATTTCACCTTTACTAAAATTTTCACACATATGTCAGACACATAAAGGAAAGTTCCGGAAATCATTCTTCCGTTTTGAAAGATAAGATGATACAAAGAGAAAATTGAACACGTTGGATTTGATTGTATACAACAAGAAAATGTATTAGGAAAATTACACTAATTTTGACTAATTAATTAGCCGTTTATTTTTTTTTAATAAACAAAGGAATATACATTTACTTCTTATATGGAAACCTACCACGTTTTTTAAGAAAGGTGTTTTTCATAAAAACTGTGCAAAAATGTTGATTACAGACCAACCCAAGTTGATAGTTAAAAAAAAATTAGATGCATACTTTCTGACAATAACTTGGAACCTGTAAACAGATACAAAGATTAAGATTTTATGACCTTGCACTAAAACAAGCTTTTGTTTATTTTTGTAAAATAATCATATAGAGGGTGAGCCAGAACTCGCGCTCCAGAGCAAAATACCATCTAAGATAAGATACTAGGAACATGGAAAAATTGTCAAAAAATTCTATCTATAAAAATTTCAAAGTTATGAGAGTTTAAAGTTTGCAATTTGACTCTATTTATTTCTGTAGGAAAAATAATTTTTCAAGTTTTTTTGTTACAGGCTATTAGAAGAGGAAACAAGGAAGCTGTAACCTAAATTGTAACTCTGTTTAATGTTATTTGTGGCTTTTATTGGCAAAATTTTTGTACCTTTACTTACTAATTATAAAAAAAACACATACAAGATCATCAGTATTATTAAATAGACATAAAAAAATGTCAAATGTCAAAAAATAAATGTCAAAATTGTTTGACAGAGAGAATTTTATAAGCATTTTTTCCATGTCCCTGGTATCTTATCTTACTTGAAAATTTTCTCTGGGGCGCGAGTTCTGACACAGCCTGTATAACCAAAATTAGGTATTAAAAATTATTGAAAAATGTGGTTACGGAGAATTATCTGAGTTCAATTAATTTGCTATAAAGATAAAAATAAAAAATATGCAATTAAAAATAATACGTATTAAATAGATATAAATATGTAGTGACATTGTTTTTTAATGTTAGGATTACATAACACTTTATTATTTTGTAAGATTTTGTTTCCTGCCAATTCAGAACTTAAGTATTCCATTGTGTGCTAATTAAATAAGTTTTGATTTTACTTCATGGGATGTCCAATACATGAAATTTAAACTTGGCATTGCTTGTTTACTCGCGTACAATTACTACATATTACAAAAAAAAATAGTTTGCATTAATTTAAGTGAATTGTAACTGAATTCTTGTAGTAAGTACTCGTGTTAGAAGATAAAATTATGTACTAAGTTACATTTTTCTCTGGAGCACGAATTTTGAAACACCCTGTATTTTACGGCATCGCTAAAAAATACATCATTTACTAACACATTTTTAATTGAGACTCATTAAGTTATTTATTTTACTCAAAACTGATCTTTGACATATCCGGGAAACGTGAAACATCCATGTTACTATTTGTATAATCAAAATTAATACTTAACAAAAAAGTAACAAAATGTTTTCAAGAGTAAAATAATATTAACAAAATTTTCATACATTCAGATTCAAAAATGCAAGAATCTTATTGCTATGGTTTAGTTTTTCTTCTTGGTGATAAAAATCAAGGTTTTTTTTAACGTCATTCACAATTTTATTAATTCAAGCACTAATTCAAGTGTT